CCCGAGCACCCCCCAGCACCCCCCAGCTAGAGCATCATTCCTCAAAGGGGCAATTTTCTCCCACGCCAGCTTTTGGGGCCAGGCAGGAGCAACCGCTGCCAATGGGCGTTGGGCGAGCAGCCGGGCTCCAGTTTAAAGGTGGTGTAGTTCAGCAAGAACACCCCCTCGTTAAACCCTCAGTGTGTCGGCGCTGGTGCTGCTGGTGCTCACAGCCTGGAGCCTGCATCCCCGCATCACCCCTGCCTCCCCGAGGGATTACGTTCCCCGGAGCGGGGAAAAGTGAGCATCCCCCACTGCCGCTCAGCATCTTCGCTCCCTCCACAGCAACTGGAGACCTGAAATGAATTTGAGATGAGCTGGTGACCTTTGGAAAAGCTTGATCTGCAGTGAGCACTGAGCAGGCCAGGGCAGCTGAGCTGCTCCCGCTGGAGGAGCGACGGCCAGGCAGGGAGAGGAACCTCCCTTGCGGCTCCTGCACCGAGGTGACAGCCCCAGCGCCTGAAGACCTATTTATTCTGCCAGGAGCTGCTAACGCAGCGACTCTCTTGCCTCAAGTCTGCGCGGGAGCAATGCAGAGCCAGCTAGCAACAGGCTGGCTGACTGGAAATCCTAATCCCACCCCAGCTTCCCATAAGCCAGGCAGAGACCTTCTGGGCTCAGCCGCCTCCGTGGCACGCGAGGGATTCAGAGACGGATTCGGCTCTGAGAGCACTCAGGCTCCCCAGGTGCCCGTCCTGCGGCTCCCGCCCCGGCTCCGCTGTCCCTCCCCAGAGCCAAGCCCCGGCTATGGCTGCCCTGCAGCTCCCCAGGGACAGATCATTTGAGGGGAGCCCCAAAATAAATCCCCGGGGAACATTTTCCACTGGCAAATGGAAATGCTCCAGCGCCACGGCCCTGCCGGTGCCCTGAGAGCAGATGGAGAGGAGACACGAGCTCTACCTGCGAAACAGGAGCAAGGGGGCTGCGGTGGGCAAGGGGGACAAAGACACGGACGAGGGCACTGCCCAGTCAACCAGTTAATCCCATTTTATTGTTTCCAATACACATGAAGCACTGCTTTCCAGCAAGGGTCCCACCCTGTAAGGCTTTTGGTCTGTAACATCTGGCTCGGTTTACAAAATCCCTGACCTCAAAAACAACTGCCCTATGCTGTTCTGCAGTGGCACTTCGGTTATCTGGGCTTTAATGAATGACCTTTATGAGCAAGGCAGAGCGCATCCCTCCACAGATCAAGAAAATCCTCTCTAAGTCTTCAAATCCCATTAACAAAACGATGGTACAAACAACGTGACCGAGCCACACTGTCCCACCCCGCTGCCCGCGGGGGAAGCCAAGCAAAGCCCAGTTCCTCCCGGGCACCGCTTACGCATCTCCCTGTTCAGGAGCCTCGAACGCACGTGGCAACGCCGGCGCAGAGCGGGATGACTGGGGCAGATCTTCCTCGGCCTGGGGTTTCCCCCTAGTATTTATGGCACGTTCCCCTGTGCTGCAGGCATCTTTTGAGGGCGAGAGTATTCGGGAGGAATTTGGACAGAATCAATATGGAATTAAATGGAAAAGAAGTATCAGTTTAATTGCAAAAAAAAAAAAAAAAGGAAAAGAAAACAGGAGATGTGAACTGTGAACGCCGTCAGAAGCCTCTCCTCCCCAGCAGGCTGGGATGCTTCTCAAGGCTCTATCTGCGCTTGGCACGAGCAACTGCCAGCGAGGGAGGCCAGCAGGTTATATCCACTCCCGTCAGCACAAGGCAAAGCCAAAACCTTTAAGACAAACACCAACCGTTAACAAAACAGAACGAAGACAGACAACAACTTAGAGCATCGAATCAACACCCGAGAGGCTTGGAGAATCTCAACAGACATCTGCAAAGCTTTCCAAAAAATGATCCTCATTCTGCTTAGGAAAATCAGGGGGGAAAAGGACGGCCCGCCATCCCGGATGGTGCCTAAGCCTTGCGCTTCTTCGCAGCCGGCTCTCCCTCCCTCCCCAGCCACTGCTGCAGGACATCCGCGCTGGTTTTCTTGGGCGAAGGGCTGTGGATGAACTGACTCGTCCACCTGGGCAAATCATTCTCTTTCTTCTGGGGAGAGCCCTCCTGGGAGTTTTTTAACCAGTCCAGCATCATTTTGCTGCTTGGGGTGGCTTTGACCTCCTGGAGAGACAAAAGACGGTGGGAGAGAAGTCAGAAGGACAGGGAGAGCAGGGCAGGCAGCCGACTCCGAGAGCTGGTCCGGAGCAGGATGCGGAGGCTGGAGCCAGGGCCCTGCCTGCGATCAGGCACATCTGCGGGAGGTCCCCCGGGCTGCTGGGAAGAGGATTGTTCCAGGCCCCATTTCACATGGAATTTGCCTCATTTGGCAGAGAAATCCTGGCACGGGGTGACAGTTTATTCCTGGAATGGGAGGGAAGGGACTCCGCGCTCCAGCATCACGCACAGGCGTGCCCACAGATGCTGCCTGCTGCTGCCCCTGCGGCAGCCTGGCAGCACCCTCCCTGCTCAGGGACGGCACCCTGGCCACGCTCGCCCCTGCCAACCCTCGCCAGCCCTCACCTTCTTGGCTCCCAGCTCGATGGGTGCGAGACACTCGGGCGCGTTGTTGCGGACGCTGTTGACAAAGGTGGACACCGGGTGGAAAACGATGTTCTCCGTGGGCTGGATGAGTTTAATCGCTTCTTGGGTTGGCACTTCGGCGAAGTCCAGCCATTTCCTGATGGCCTCGTCCCCGTCCAGGATGGCTGGCATCCTAGGGGACAAGACAGTCAGAGCCAAAGCCCAGCGCCAGTGGCAAAAGCCAGGCTTGCAAGGAGCTGGCAGCTCGGGGGGGAAACGGGGAAAACCGAAGCAGCAGGATGCTCTTCCGCAAGGCAGAGCGCGCGTTCGCTTCGCCCGGGTAGCTGCTTTGCTGGAAGAGGCAGAGGGGTTGACTGCCAGGCCCCGGTCAGGCAGAGAGCGATCCGACTCTGGAGAGTGATCCAACGCCGACTGCCACCCGCCGGGGCAGAAAGATGGTGATTTATGGAAAGGGCGCGAGCCAATGACCCGAAACGAGCCGGTAATGTAGCGTTTGTCTCTGAGGGCATCAGGAGGCAGCAGGACTCCCTGCCCGCGTGCTGCCAGACCCGCGTTCAAAGGCGCAGCTTTCCTCCCTCATCCCCCCGCCGCCCTGAACGGTGATGATGGTGTAAGTGTACAGCATTTCTCCTCCTGCCGGCGGCTCCCAGCAGTCGAAAATCCCAGCCATGGTGAGCAACCTCCAGCCTCTCCATTCCTCGTCTCCCTCCTTCCCCTCAGCCTGCAGGAGAGAGGCCCCATCGCCCCGCTCAGTGCCGACCCACGGGCAGCCAAAGCATTGCAGACTTGCCGGTGCTGCGGCAGCTCAACAACTCAGACCTAAGTCAGGAACTGAACTAATTTGAGGACTTTTCAGGAGCCCTTCTACTAATTTGAGGTAACTCCAGGAGAGGTACCGGGAGCCTCATCTTCCAACAGGCAAGCCAACGCCCTCCTCCCCTTCTGAGCATCCCGGCCACCGGCACAGTCAAAGGAAAGAGGTAGCGAAACTCCCAGCCCCGTCCCCTGCGGGACGCATCGCCCACCCATGCAAATATCCGGCACGCGGGGAGCAGCGAGCGTGACGGCGGGGATGCTGCGGCACCATTTACAGCCAGGGGACCTCAGCGGCAGGGACCGCTGGCCGCAGAGGGATGCCGGGGTGCCGAGGCCGCCGTGGGATGGAGCCCCAGTGGGAAACAGAGACCTCCAGAGAGGGGCAGAGCTGGAGGGCAGGGGGCTGTTCTCCAGGCAGCTGGAGGGAGCGAGGGCTGAGAGCTGGGTGTGAGCATTCAGACACGGCGAGGGACTCCGTACCACGGCGTCCTTGGTCTGGGGGAAGTAAATGAAATACGGCTGCTTCCCCCCGCTGTGCTGCTGCCACTCGTAGAAGCCATCCGCCAGGACCACGCAGCGCTTGCCCTTGAGGAGAGCACCCTGGGGGAGAGAAAACACGAGCGAGCTGTGAAGAGCGGCCTCGGGCAGCCTGCGAGGGGGGACGGGGGCTCCTGGGGCCGCCCAGCCCGCTCGCTCCCTCTCGGGGCTCCCCTAAAGCACCCCAGGGGGGCACAAACGCCACCACCAGCGCTGTGATGAAGGATGAGCTTCACCGACAGCCTTTTCAGTTCTTCTGTTTCAGTGCGATCCCCCAGCCCTGCAGCACAGGGACTTACTCCTTACAGCGACCAGTACTCGCTAGGGAGATGCTTCAGCTCTGGTTTTGCTGACTACGAGATCTCTTCAAGCTGGACACAAAGAGAGCAGCAACTCACCTTGTAGGAGGACTTCTTCAGCATGGTATCGCTGCGGCAGTTGGAGGTATTAAACTGCATTTTGGAGGGGTCATCCTTTTTGAACCAGGAGGGAATCAGGCCCCAGCGCATGTCCATGAGGACCCGCTCGGAGGAGTCGGCATCCTTTCGAATGAGAGAGAGAAACACCTCGGGTCAGAGCCGCGTCGCGGGGACCACGAGCATCCCCGCAGCCGGAGAGAGGGGCTCCGCAGGGCCCCACGGAAGTGGCTTCTCCCCCGGCGAGGGGGGAACGGGCCGGGGCCTCTGCCGAGAGCCGAGCCGGGGCTCGCAGCCCCTCCAGCACCAAACCTGCCTCTGCTGCTTTGCCGGGCTGCCACGCACAGGCCGTGCAGAAACAGCCACTGATTATTAATAACCCTTTGCATATTCTTAACGGCTTTCCTGTAAGAATTAATCTTCAGCAGAAAGCACAAGAACATTTTGCAGGAATAACTAAGTGTCTCTGTGAGGCTCGCCCGATGACTCTCCGGAGGGACGGACGCAGTTTTTCTTCAAGGGGTAGCGCCCGGACACGCGAGCTCCCCAGCTCCTGAGCGAACGGTCCCGTCGGGCTGGCGTCAAGGTCCTCACAACTTCCCTCTTTACAGCGAGCGTCCCAAAGGGCGTACGCCTCACCGTCATTTTAATAACGTGGTTTCTGCTGCCCCGCTTCACTTTCACTCCTCGCGCTTTGCATGCCACCTGCCTTCGGACAATGGGGACGGCTTGTGGCTTTCACTTCTCCCCCGGCTCGCTCTCGCTTTCTGCCCGCAGCTGCCAGCCCCGGGTGCCGCGCAGCCGGGCGAGCGAGGCCCCGCGGGCGTCTGCTCCCGAAGAACTGCAGTAGATGTACGGACATACCTACTATAGGTGTATGTATACAGGGACGGGTGCGTGCCCGGTTTGGTGAAGGCTTCCAGAGCCTCCCACCGATGAGGAGCGGCAAAAAAGGGGCACCTTACACCGTGCCTGCGTCCCAACAGCCCAAGGGAGGCGCACAACCCGGCAGCTCCCAGCCCCGCATTGCCCTGCTCCGCCAGCTGATCGGCCGCTCTCGGGGGGACGTGGGACCCCAGGGCAGGAGAGGGGGGCACGAGGGATGCCCGACGGCACGGCCCGTGGCGCTCCACCGCGGCGTCCCAGCCCCCGTGCCGGTAACGGCTGGCAAGGGCGGCGGACCCCCTCCCCGGCCGGGGGGGCAGAGC